GTTTATTCTCTAAAGTATGTAAAAATATTGCAGAACTCTAGAGCTGCTACTTTACTTATGAGGAAATCCTGCTGAGCCAAGTGAAATTTACATCTGAATAAAATGCATAAGGTTCTGTACAGCAGCAACCTTAAACACACTTTCCCAAGACTAAGTCCTATTGAAACCAATGAGACTTCTCTAGTAGTGAACAATGTTAAAATCAAGCCGAAACACCCTTCTTCTGCACACCGTGTGCAGTGTTTAAAATGAATTAAGATAGTTTCTTATATTATGCAGTTTAATAGGTCGGTTGGCAATGTTTGAGCACAAATAGCAGCAATAATCTCCCTGTACATTCTCTTCAAATGTATTGGCATGTTTGGCAAATGCATGCTTTGTTGTTTTATTTTAATAATATTTTTTTAAGCACAGAATAACCAGATTTGGAAATAGATTCTGATTAAGAAAATTAGGCTGTGAGCGCAGCATTCATGCCACTTATAAAGTGTTTATATTGATCATAAACAAATTAATTGAAAGGACTGGTGGGGGTGAGGAGGGTTGATTATACAAACAATTCCCTATATAATCCAGAGGCAAAATTCCTCGACTTGACGGGACTCTCCCTCTGACAGTTCTCCTAAGGTAGGTTATTTTGGAGAAAACATATGTTTCCATTTTCTCTCCCTCTGCTTCCTTTTTAGTCCCCAGGCTCCAGAAGGGTCACAGCAACATTAAGGCTTTTGTCAGTGTGATTAATAGCTCTTTAGATCATCTTTAATTCACTCACTAATGACTGAGGGTCTTTCTGCTCTCCAAGTAATCGGGTGATGTATGAGCCGATAGTACACCTTGTGGCAGAGGTGAAAATCATTCAGGCAATGCAAATATTGTCACGGGGACAAATGTTTTCCCTGTTAATAAAAATTAATGAATTTTACCCAGAAGCTAGTTACAAAAGCAATGGTGAAAGAGATCCAAGCACAAGACCGGGAGGTGCAGGGGATGAGGTGGAGGCAGTACACCAAGACCTCATTTCTTGGAGCCATTTGTTTTGTCTTTTGAGATATGTAAGGATAGGTATTCTTAGTATATCTGCATCTGCATAATAGATGAGACACTGGCAGGTTAATTAAATTATACAAATAAATTGCATTGTGACCAAATCTGTCTTTCAGTTGCAAAGGCCTGCTTGCTTGTTTGCTCAGTTCAACACCATTATTTTGTCTTGCCATGGGGGGAGACACCCTCACCCACTCAATAGCTTTCTCATTACAAAGATTTCAGGCAGAAATTCTGGGATTTGGTGGCTGGCGAAATCCTGAAATGCTGTCCGTCAAGGCGTTATCCCTGTAAAAATTATGTAATGATGTCCACATTTAAAGCCATCTTACCACATCCGGTAACTGTGAATCCCATAAGATACGGTAATTATGTATTGTGTCCTGAATATTCTGCATAACTCCGAGTTCTAGAATTCTGAGAGAGAGTAAAACACCGTATTTTTTTGCTCTAAAAGACTCACTTTTTCCCTCCTAAAAAGTAAGGGGAAATGTGTGTGCGTCTTATGGAGCAAATGCATGCTGCACAGCTATCCCAGAATCCAAAACAGCAGCGCAGCGATCCCTCTTGCTGTTCTGGCTTCTGGGATTCAGAATATTTTTTTTCTTGTTTTCCTCCTCCAAAAACTAGGTGTGTCTTATGGTCTGGTGCATCTTATAGAGCGAAAAATACGATAGTTCTTGATAGCCATTATTTCTAGGTAAATTGGAGTAGGCTCAGAAAAGGGAAACAAAGGTGGAGAGCAGTATGTTTAGCCCAAATAGGTAAATATGAGGGGTTGGGGGTGGGCTTGATATTGCTCTTCAAATATTTAAAGGGCTGTCTCATAGGAGAGGGCAAATCTCTGCTGCCTCAGAGGGCAGTACTAGATCTAATGGGCTTCAGTTACAGAAAGATAGATTTTGCCTGAACATTAGGCAAAACCTCTGGAAGATATGACCACTGAGACAATGGAACCAATTACCTGGTAGCTGCCCCTCCCTTGAGGTCTTGAAGCAGAGGCTGAACTACCATCTTTTCAGGATGCTGCAGCGCTGGATTTCTTGCACTGAACAGAGGACTAAACTAGATGACCTACAAGGACCCTTCCAACTGTACAGTTAGATGACTATCTGCACACTGTGCATAATTTTATAATCCTCTGTCTATTCTGCTCCTCAGCCATTTTTTAGTTCTTTTTCCAAACTAAAAGTCATCACATACTTAGAAGTCCCCCACCTTGTTAAATCTTAAGCAGAAGTGTGTATGTACACCGTGGTATACTTAACTGAGTTTTCAACAATTTTGTTTGTCCTAATGTTTTGCTATTAGTGCACGCACTTCCCAAATTCATTGTCGGAGCTTGCACACATGCTCTCTCTGATATGCCCATCATCACCCCCTCCTTGTGGCTATCCAGTAAGTTTGAAAAAAAGGTGCGGGTATTGTTTACTGATTCAGTATACACCATGGCTAAGCCTGCTGTTCTTTTTGGTTCATTTTGATAGTCCCTGATTCTTTCTTCTGATGACAAAAGCCATTGTCTCAGTGGAATATACATTTCTGAAACACTTCCCAGATCCAACCCTATCATTTACATCTCTCCATAAAAAAGGCAAACTTTTAAAAGACATAATTTTACCTCTCTCTGCAGCGCTTATCTACAAACGAACATACGACTGAGGGGTGGGGGTAAGGCTCCACTTGTTACTATTATTTCTGGTAGACACCCAAGGAGAGTAGCTAATTTGTTCCTCATTAATGCCAAGGACAATTTTTTAAGGGGCAGAATTATGCATTTATTTCCATTCAGCCACTATGGTGAGCTTCTTTTCTCCCCATCTTTCTCACACACAGTTCCCAAACCTTTACTGCATGTTTTATGTGATAGCATAGGGTGAATTAATGTGTCTTTTAAAAAGAGAGAAAGACAGAAGCAGAGACAGAGAGAGATGAATTAGTGATGAATCTTAAATAAGGACAGAAAATTACACGAACACACACTCCGCTGGAAAAGATGGCACCTGCCTTTGGTTGGACTCCCCTTTTGTGGCGAGTCCATGGTATCTCCTTAACAATTAAGCTCAGAATCCTTGACTAAGACCACTTAAACTTTGGAGGCATCTGAAATGTAGATGTTGATGCAACTCTTTGAACTACTTTTCCTTTAGACTTGGCTCAGCTAAAATAGCTATTCTGGACTGCCTTGTGCTTTCTCCAATATCATAATATAGGTATGGTTGCCCATAGTTGACGAATCAAAGGAGTGTGCTCTTCCCTGAGTTAAAAGTCCTCAAGGTCCAGTTTGTCAGTATATATGTACAGAGTCATTTATCTACCTATTCCAGTGCTACAGTCTTTACCGGACCTTTGCTATTTGCAGCATAGGGTTCTTTTTTATGGATTAAAATTAAAGACACACTTCACTCAAAGCAAGTTTTTTCACCCCCTTGGCTACCTGAGCACCTGCAGGCAATCGATCCTAGTGCAACATTTTGAGGGATGCTTGAGGAATTCAGTATCTTGGACTAATGTGTGGATTGGAATGTAGCTCTCTACAGGACTTTGCAGTTCTCTGACACAGTTTTTGGTAGTTTAAACAAATCATAAGACACATTTAAATATTATTTTGGGAGGAAATACATATTTAAATATGTATGTTAACAGAAACATTTTTTAAAAGCACAGATTAATGCAGAAACAGAGCAGAATGGAATTATGTGTAAAAACTTGTAATCGAGAGAAGTATAGAATCATTGAATTGTAGAGTTGGGAGAGACCTTGAAGGTCATATAATCTAACCCGCTGTAATGTAGGAATCTCAACACATGGTCCCCTATCCAATTTGAAACCATAGCGAATCCTGCTTAGCTTTGCAAATGTGCTACCAGTTTTACTGTTGCACCTCTGCAACCCTATCTTCTGAGAGGATGCCACTGTTGGGAATCGATGCTGCATGGAGTCTCTGTACTCAAAGGAGATAGTGTGATTGATGCATCCAAGATAAAGTAGGACTCATGGCTACCCCACTTCAGCCCTGCTTGTGGCACTCATGTGTGCATACAGCTTATGAATCTGGTCATCTAGCAGTACTGCCCAAGGTCTTGGGCTACAGTCTTTCCCAGCTTTCCTCCTGATGTCCTTTAAGCTGGAGATGCCAGGGATAGAAACAGGTAAATTCTGTGTGCAGAATGTGCCTTCTACCACTGAGCTATTTGTCCTTCTGCATCGGACTAGTATTTTGATTTAAATCCAAATTGCTGAATGCAAACCAATTGCAAAAACAAAGACAAGTTTATATTGCCATGTTCTGTGTCCATGGACTGTTCCACCATGCATCATCATGAAGTGACCCTGCTTCATGAAGTGCCATCAGGGGAAATAGATAAAGGCAGGGATTATTGTCTGGATGGTGCCAGAGTAGTGGGATGTGGGCATTTAGGGGCTGCAACAGGCAGAATGTTTTAGGAACCACATAGGAAGTTGCCTTATCTGGAGTCAGACCATTGACACATTTAGCTCAGTACTGTCAACATTGACTGGCAGTGGCTCTCCTTGGTTTTCCCTGCGCTGTCTGGAGACACCAAGGCAGATACTCCACCAGTGAACTATGGTCCTTTGCTTTGGGGCAGCTCCGCTCATGACTGAATAGCAGGGTGAAGTGTTGGAGGATTACATGGGCCTCTCCAATCCACTCAATACTCACCTAAGAGTGTGGGCTTCTAAGGAGCGGGAAGGTCTCATACAATTGGCTTAGTCCATGTGTTCTACGCTTCTCCAGTATTCAGATGGAAGCCACTATGAAACAGTTCCTGTGCCTCTTTTGTAATGTATGAATTGGCATTATGCTTAAAGAGCCACTGAGTTCTAATGTTTGGCCTTCTTTTGAACCTTTTGTAGTAAAGCAAGAAATGAAAGCCAAGTTAAAATTAAACTATTGTTTTACTTCTAACATTTTTAGTAGCGGGATTGGTTATCTAACGATTGGTTCTCGATGGCTGGTATAAATTGTGCTGTTCGCTCTCTGTACTTGTGGCTGAAAAAAAGCAAAGGCAAAAGGAAATCAATTTGAAGTAGCAAGTAACAAATGACCAGTCTTAGGCAAGTATACAAGTTGGGGGGAAATAGAGTCGTGGAGGACATACATTACTAGCAAATGCAATGCTGACTCTTTTTCCTTTTCTAAATGCAGCAAAACCACTTACATGTTTGTGGGTGTGCACACGTGCTCAAGTGTAGGTGTGACCTGCTCATTGTGCCAAATTTTGGGTGGGGACTGAAAGGCAAGAAGACAGGCAGACAGAACCTGCTTAATAATAATGCCCATTATTAAACTATATAACTTGAATGCAGCGGGGAGCGGCTATTAGTGGGTTATTTAACAGCACAGAATCTGATATCTCACATCAGAGAAATGTGAGAAAGTTGCAGAAAACCAGAAGGATGCAGAACCCAAATACATCTTTAACTGTAACATATTACAAATAATTTAGTTTGATTTGTCATCCCTTAAAAAATCCTTTCATACACACAATCAGAGTAGTAAAGAATGGTTAAATAATGGGACTTGTTTGCACCCTCTCTTTACTTGCTGATGGATGAAGTGGAGATTCTAATCACTTTTCATTATTGTGAGTACAGCTTCAGGAGTTGTTTCTATGGTATTTTGCACAGCACAGTTATCTCCAGTGGTGGGTACAGTTCATAGTTCCAGAGAGAAATGCAGACATTTCAACGACTCAAGATAGCAAGAGGATTTAGCTGAAAACACACTGTGGTGTTTAAAAACATATGTAGATAGGAGTTATAGGATGAAAACTACCTTGAGATAATAATCAGCTACCACCTGCGTAGAAAGTGCATGCTGTGTTTCATGCCTATTGTAGCTAAGGAATGACATGGGGCAAACGAGGAAAGAATAAAAAATAAGGAAAAGGGAGGGCCTAGTATATGTAGGGAAGATCACCTGGACAAGGTGAAACCATCAGCCACTTGGTTAACAGTTGGCAAAACAGTTGACAATTAGCATATGTTCATACTGTTCGTCTTTAGACACACTGGAATATGTTAAGATATTGTAAATCCATATGTATTTACATTTTATGAACTCCTTTGCATACATTTTAAAGCCCTTCACATGTAAATGGCGTGCCATGATGGCGACAGGTTCAGCATCCATCTTAAATGCATTCATTTCCGTGTCTGAAATGAGCCTATTGTTTTCTGTTAGAACATCTGAAAAATGCTTATAAATGTTAAGTGGCTTCTTGTTGTCATCCACTTACTCAATGCTTCAATTCCTTGGTTCAAATGTGGTTTCTGTTCTAGACACTCCTGCACTGCTGACCATATTTGTTTCCTCCCCACCACATTATGACATCTTAAGAAAGTGAGGACTAGGCAAATTGTGACCCTAGCATGTGTTGGTGTCATCATGATATCTTAGTGGTTTACACCACCTGTAAGTGATCTGTTTTTCCAAGCGTTGTAGAAGAGGGATTTATTATAGTTTGAAGAGAATGTGAGAGAATAGCATAAGGCTTCTCCTTATATTTAGCTGAACCCAAACCCATATACTTTTCATGTCCCTTGTACTTTTTCAACCCACTCCTTTATACAAGGGAGTGATTGTGTAGGGCAGGAGACTGTGAAAATGGCAGTGAGGTGGTTTTCTTTATGATTTACTCCCAGGAGACCACATTTACCATATTATATTGAGTTGCCATTTTGTGCTGGAAATAAAAAAGAAATGGCAAATGTTCATTTGCACATATTCATTCCTTTAAACATATGTAAATTTCTCGTTTATTAGCTTGGAGGAAAACAGTAATCTATTCGTCGATCAATCAAACAAAGACTAGCAAGGAGGCAAGAAGAACAGAAAGCACATTTAAAACTTTCCCAAAGAAGGATGGAAAATAGCTGGAATTAGTTAAAAATCAAATGACTCAGAGAGTAACAGCTTGTGTTTGAGGAAAAGAGGCCCAACAGAAAATGCCTCTTTAGAGCCCACTGGATATTTGCAGGTATAAGGGGAACGTACTGAGTCATGGTTCATTTACAGTGTCTGTTTCCTCTCTCCGGGAATGGTTTCTAACAGATTCAAGGAGACTCCAACCTTGTAGCTGGAATAAAGGCAGCACTGTGAGTGAAAGATTTGTTCTGTTTAAAGAGAAAAGTTGTCAGCCATGTTTCACATATTGTGCCTCTATTGAAGGACAACTTCCTTCTTCCAAACTGTGCCAGAGATGGAGTCCTGTACAATAGGTATTGGCAACGCGTGAAGCCAAAAGGTCATGATAGCTGCTTTTAGTATAACTGGCAACTGGCCTGTCAGGCAAACCATGGCAAGTACCCCATTAGAAAGCACAGCCAGGATCCAAAGAAAGGACATGCACATACTTGTAGTTTTTCCTTCTGTTTTTGCAGCAGAAGCTATCACTGCCAAAGAGAGAGCCCAATTTCAAGACTGAATTGTCAGTACTATTAGGATCAGAAAGGAGCTACTTGTGGCTGTGGTGCCTTAGTCCAGACCTGAAATGTATGTTTTCCAGTTCAGGTAATCAGAGCAATGATTCCAAGAGTGGTTTAACAATAAATCCCCTTTCCCAAGGAACTCTGGGAATTGTAGCTCTGGGAGGGGAATAGGGGTGTTTTAACCAGTGTGGTGTAGTGGTTAAGAGCGGTAGTCTCGTAATCTGGGGAACTGGGTTCGTGTCTCCGCTCCTCCACATGCAGCTGCTGGGTGACCTTGGGCCAGTCACACTTCTTTGAAGTCTCTCAGCCCCACTCACCTTACAGAGTGTTTGTTGTGGGGGAGGAAGGGAAAGGAGATTGTTAGCCGCTTTGAGACTCCTGAAGGGGAGTGAAAGGCGGGATATCAAATCCAAACTCTTCTTCTTCTTCTCAGAACCCTTAACAAATTACAGCCATGACTGTTCACAGTCATGGTAAGAATATGGGCTTGATTTCTACATAGTTACCCATCTAGGCCCTAACCAGACTCAAGCCAGTTTTGCTTCAGTAAAATGGAAGCCTCACGTGCCTCCGGACTATAGCTTGGGTTTTAAAATGTAAGTTGTCTGAGCCACATGCTTCTTCCTGATTTACGCCCTTCCTCTTTAGTGAAATCATGTTAAAATCTAAGATCCAAAATGGCACTCAGCTGCCCAGACCAGTTCAGCTTTGAGAACCACAGCTGTCAGATCCAGTTGGGCCAGATCTGGTTAGAGATTAAACTGGCTGTCAGTGGGGAATGAAGATGCATGTGACTTTTTTTAGAGCACCGATGGTAGTGTTTTAAATGTAAGGAGTTAGTGTGGCCTCTGATACGCTGGGCAGCTTCTTCTACTTATGTACACAATACTGAGCTTCACTCTGGTATGACTCTGGCCTGATAGACGGTTCTCTTCCCTGTGCCTGTGTCCCTTGTTCAAATCCTAGCCCAGTTTTTCCGGTTACCAGGGCTCTGTCCCCACCACAACAGAAAAATAGGTCCATTAAATTTATTAGTTTTATTGACTTTGTTTTCCTTGAGCCTATTTAGAAAACTATGTATGAGAAGAGAAGGAGGGGAAATGACACAACACACATTCCCCTTAAAGACAGGAGATGATTATATTTTTAATCGGCATTAAAAATTTGTTTCTAATAAGAGGAAGGCTAGCATGGTTTGGGGTGCTCTGGATGTCGTGGTAAACAATGCCCATACTGCAGGATGGTTTCCCAAATAACAGAATGGAAGCTGCAGCTGTGGTTCAAGGGCTTATCAAACCCATCAATCACATCATCAAAAATGGTTATATGCTAGAATTAGAGACATAGATCTGTCTTCGGCACTGACAGGTTCCTACTATTGCTTCCTAAGAGGAAGTTGTCCTGGATATGATTTCTGCTGCAGTAGCCAATGTAGAAGTAATAATAGACTCCATTTTCATTGAGAAAACGAAACTTCCAAAATAATAATAATAATTAAAAATATATAGTTTCCCTCCTGACACATGGAATTTGAGCTAGTTTCCCTTAGTAGCTGCGGAGTCTATAATTCTTGCTACTTGATTCAATATGTACTTATTTTATTCAAATTTGGCACATGCATATATTTTGCTTTTGCTAGTTGAGGGAGGGATTAATTAATTGATCAGAATGTTTATATTTTTCCTACTAACCAAAGTTCCGAATGAGGCTTATAATATATTTAAAATAATATTATTCAATAGACAGTAGTTACTAAGGCAGGACAGAGATGTGTAAGTTTCTTCCCTGGTTTTCCAGTGCTCCAGCAATACTCTGCACCTGAATCTCCAAGACTGAAATAGGCTGTTGGCTGTCTCTATCCCATTCCTTTGTTGCCAGAAATTTTATCAAACGAACTTCTGATTTATGCTCACTTTCAAGTCCAACAAGATAGTCTTGAAGCACATGAGGCTACCACCTGGCTGAAGCTGGGTCTGGTCAAAAGCTGGATGCAGTTCCTCCTGAGAATTTTATGTATGCTGTGTATTTTCATATGATGAAAATTGCCCATTTGAAATTAAAAGAATGAGGAAGGAAGTCCAGTGTCACCATATGGCACGCTTGAGCACCCTCAGGTAGAACCCAAAGCTGTCCTCCCACCCCCAGTGACCATGAAATACTATATCTGGGCAATTGTGATAACTTAAAGTGGCATCTCCCACCTCTAATCAGAGCACTGTGACCATTAGGTTATCCCACCAGGGCCATCAACATAGGAGGGAACCCACTAGAGGGAGCTGGCCGTCTAAGATTAATTCAACTACACATTAAGTTCCCTTTTCTATGTTTGAAGCAGAAATAATACGGAGTGCAGCATTTAAGTAAAAATAAACACATATTTTCTGCCTGACGGAAGCTTTGATAGTAGTTGGGTAGTATAATCCCGGGCATGTTTACTTGCAATGAGATCTTACTGTGTTCAGTGGAGTTTATACTCCAAGGAAAAGTGTACATTGAATTTCTAATTTAGGTATTTCAGTAATATAACTAGAGGTTTTTTTTTGTTTTGAAAGTACAAATTAGGTGCCAGTACTCATATTTTGATAAAAATGTCATGGGTGCGAGCACACAATGGCTGTCATAGGTAGCAAAAAAAGGAGAATGGGTACAGTCACAAAACAAGCCCTGAAAATAGCTGAAAGTTCTTTCCCCTCCAACATAATCCCCTTGCCAACATAAAAATATATTTTTGCTAATAGCACTGTAAAAATGAAATATTTTTTAAGCAAAGATTTCAGAGGGGAAATGAAGTAGTGGCACACCTCCCTCAGTCATCTCAAATGATTTAGGAAACAAGAAAAAAAATGAAGATATCATTTCAAGTGTGTTTGTTGTCTTTTGTGATCAAGACCTATGGGTGGTAGTGGAGTAGGGAGGATAATCTGAAAGCATTTAGAGTAGGGTTTTTTTATATAAAAAAAAGTATCAGTGAAATCTCAGTTTCCCTATTATTTGGGAACTTTTTTCCACTTCTGAAGATATTTCTGTTTTAAATGTATCAGTGGTGGTTTTTTTGTATTTTTAACTTGCTTTAGCTCTTTTTATTGTACATTGTTTCGAGACAATTGTGTGAAAGGCAATTAAGGAATTGAGGATGAGGATCATTTTAATTATTGCTTTCTGCCCCCTTCATTATGTTTATTCAGAAGAATTTTTCATGATTTCGCTTTGCAGTTCAGATTCTGTATGTCTAGAGAACAAAATACTAAGCATCTGAGCAGTCACAAGCTCAGTAGAGGGACAGATTCTCAGCTAGGTCAAAGCAACAGAAAAATCAGCAATATCTTTCTCTTTGATTGATTTTTGTGTAGATGTGTCATAGTCATAAGTTGTGCTTTTAGTTGTGTCATTTGAAGCTAATGTCTAATGATTAGATTCTCAACTGTATGGGTGTCCAGAGATAGGTTTTTGCACCATCCATTTGCTACCCTGGATTACCACTTACCTAATGGTGGCACAGGCCTGTGGAATTGGGAATAGGGCTGCCAACTTTAAAAAACTGGGTTCTGCTCCTGTGCTTTTAACAGTAGGCGACAAATGTTATCAATGTACTGTGAACTTTCAATAGCAGATTTCTGCCAACAATAATGCTTTTAAAGGGCAGGACAACCTCAGGAAGCTTGAAATCAAATGCTTGTGCAGCCATAAAGTTGTGTATTGGCCTTGAAGAAGTCACTAAGGTTACTAATGTGTGTGCTAGTAAGGGAAAGTTTTCAATTCGCAATAATCGTGCCTTGGCTTAACCTCGTTGGCGAGGTTCAGCATATGTTCAGGAAAGTGACTGAAATACCGTAAATGTGCAGTGGAGATATTGGTCTTCATGTGGTTGTTGTTAAGACACATATAGTTCTGTGAGAGTATGCACAAAAATTCATGTACAGTCGTACCTTGGTTCTCAAACAGAATGTGTTCCAGGAGTCTGTTCAACTCCCGGAACTGTTTGAAAACCAAGGCACGGTTTCCTATTGGCTCCAGGAGCGTCCTGCAGCCAGTCGGAAGCCGCGCCAGGCGTTTGACTTCCTAAAATCATTCAAAAACCGGAACACTCACTTCTGGGTTTTGATTGTTCGGGAACCAAGGCAGTAACCTGTACTATAGGTAAAGGAAAAGGACCCCTGGATGATTAAGTCCAGTCAAAGACGACTATGGGATGTGGCCCTCATCTCGCTTTTCAGGCCGAGGGAGCTGGCGTTTGTCCACAGACAGCTTTCCAGGTCATGTGGCCAGCATGTCTAAACTGCTTTTGGCGCAATGGGATACCGTAACTATAGTTGTGACTAGAGAGTTGGACTTGGATTGGGAAGGCCTGTGTCCAGATCTCCTGCTCTGCACATCCAGAAGAATGAGGCGGTAAAGTGGACTGCACCAATTGCAAGCCACCACCCCCTTTGCATTTTGCAATATTTCCCCACATTAAAAACAAAATATCTCCAGCACATAAAAATCTGTAATTTCCGAGAAAAGACTTCTCTGGCCCAGCCTCTTCCCTGCTCTGCTAGTTTCTACTGGCAGGGTGTTTGAGTGTGTATGTGTACTTACTGAAAAAATAAAGTCTATTCTACTTTCTCTTCATTTCTGTGGTTATAACCGCAGACCCCAACTCTCTGTGTCGTAGAAAACCAATCAGGGACCTCTAAGGACCAGCCTCTGTGTTCTGAGGAGGATGGAGAGGCCTGACTGAGAGAGAGAACTATTCCAGGATGTGTCTTTTGACCCTTCAGGTTCCTTCCTGAAGCAACTGGGTTCAAATGTCCTGACAGAATCTGTGAGCTAGGACCTTGATGTCTTGAGAAGCGTCTTTTTCCACTTTGAACCAAGGACTGTAGAAGGACAATAAGAAGACCCCCATGTGACTGGAAAACATGTGAAGATCAGAGCAAGGCAGAGCAAGCCTTACTGCGCCTTTCAGCTTCAATTCCCTTTCTTTACAATGGAAAATCCTAGATTGTTGAGGCCTCTAGTGCCATGAGCTAGAAACCTTCCTTGCATATCCAACCGTTAGGATGAATGCTGGAGAACTGTATTTTTATTTCCCCAAACAGCAGCTTTCCCCCAGTTTCTAATTGCCATTAAATAAGACTGAATGTTCAATGAAAAATCTGGACAGGACCTTGTTGGCTCTCCTACTAACCTGCCTGTGGGTTAAATGTTTCCGTGGCATGTCATTGGTGTAATAAATATTAACACACACACACAAAACAGTATTTCTGCTTCAGCCTAATCATACACAATCATGATTTTCATGTAAACAGTTTTCTCCTGACAAGTGAAGAGTGCATACCTCCCTGATTTGCTGCATTTGTGTATTGAAATCCTCCGGCCATGGATGTTAAAAAGTAAACATGTCTATCAGATTTTTTTTTAAAGGAATCAAATGATGGTCAAAGTCTGAAGACCTCTGGAAATGCCTTGTTAGAGTTTTCCTAGCTTTATTGTGGAATCCTACAAAAAAAAAATTAAAATCAAGGAAAATGCTTAAAATATACAGTGGTACCTCTGGTTACGTACTTAATTCGTTCAGGAGGTCCGTTCTTAAGCTGAAACTGTTCTTAACCTGAAGCACCACTTTAGCTAATGGGGCCTTCTGCCACCGCACGATTTCTGTTCTCATCCTGAAGCAAAGTTCTTAACCTGAGGTACTATTTCTGGGTTAGTGGAATCTGTAACCTGAAGCGTATGTAACCCAAGGTACCACTGTACATAATTCAATATTTAGACTGATTTTTTTCAAACTTATGCATAGTGGGCTTGGGTGAGATGTGCCATATGAGTTAGTAGTGGGTTGCTCATACACTCCTTCCGGTAGTATACCTGCTCCATAGCTACTACCGGGAGGCGTAGAGAAGGGGTAGCAGGAAGGCTAAGTAGTTGGGGGAAGGCCAAATAAGACAAAATAGAGGGCATAAGTAAGGGGTGCAGAGTTAGTGGTATAGTGAGGATGTAGTATCGAGGGTGTGGAAACTGCAATGGCTTGAAGCAATGGCAGAAGAGAACTGGAGTAGAACAAAATGCAGACACAGAGGTTTCTGTGGAGCCAAAATAGTTGCTGTCTGCATGATGGCTTTTCCCTGTGCAAAGATTCTGATGTGTGGTTGCAAGGTTAGGATCTTTTACTACCCCAGTTTATATAAATAATATTTGTTGTTCCAGTTACTGATTCCAGTGACTCCTAAAACAGGAGCATTTGGAAGCTGACACATCTGTGGATGTTTTAAATCATAAGGGCATCTACTCTATTCTGTTTTTTCAAGTGTTGGCGTATGAAGTTCTTTGTCATTCCAGACCCACCTGTCTGGGAACACAGAAATCGAAAACAGGAGTAACTCTCGAATTTCACCTTCATTTAATCCATCACAGAAAGCGTGCCTTTCTTTTCTCTTTTCTTCTTCTTCTTTTTTGCTGTATAGAGAAAAAAAAATGCAAGGACATTTAAACAAAGTGACACAGATCATCAGCAGATCAACTGAAAATGACAGCTCAATCAAACAAATGTATGTTGAGAATTTCCACAGGGCAGCTTTAGCTGCAGCCAAACCAAATTTGTTTAGTATACATCAGTTAGCTGCTTAGAAACATTCAGCAGAGATGCTAGCCAGATGATGACTCTTCTAGACAAACATCTATTTAACTGAGTATCCCCATCCATGACCGTGTTAGTGTTTGGATGTATGTGATGGGCTTTCTTCAAAATATGACTTCATTTCAACAGCAGCCAGGTACCAATTTAGGCATATTGTGTTCATACAAAAATTAAAGGTATGCTTTCAGATACTAGAACCTAGCAGGGAGAATTTCTCAACAAAACCAACTATCACTTTCCCTATCAACTGCAACTACTAGCCCTTCTATTTATGTGATGATTAATTGTTGCTCAAATCAACACAAGTTGTTTCCTTCAAAGGATTTGAGCATGGTGAATTAATGCAGCTGATGGAGCTTCAGACATGACATGAAATATATTCAAGAAGTGAGTTGAGTTGAATCAAAGCATAGTAGGTCGTGATGTGTAGGTACAAGTTTGAAGTTTGCAAGACTGTTGGATCATTGGATAATATATGATGGAGGAATTAAAAGCAAACCAGCCAGAAAGGAGCAGATTTGTCTACTTAAAGGCAAACTGGAAATTCCATTGGTGGGACACATCTGCTCAAGCGGCTCGGATCAGGGGGAGAGGCTGTAATAAGGATTGTGAAAGATCTAGGAGAATGCGCCCCCCCCCCCCCGCACACATTGCAGGCTGGTTGCTATGATGTTGCTGGTGGGAAAATATATTGAGTGAGATGGTTGACCATGGAGTTCCTATCTTAAAAAAAAAAAAGACTACAGATTACATGCAACACGGGACAAAGGAGCTGAGCAGCAAGAAGATTGTTATGTCTCTACACGCAGAGATGGCAGATGAAGATGTTTCTTTTTATGTTAATTGATATTAATCAAAGATTTAGCAGGGACTGACAGTCTGATAAGTAACCTCACTTGTTGAAATTGAACATTTTAACTTAATATACATGCAGGAATTGGCTGATGGATAGTTGTTTGAAAAGGAATCAAGTTAAAAGCAAATATATTGTAATGTAAGGTATCTGTAACATTTGAAGATAAACTAGAAATAATTGGGGAATATGACTAAGGAGAACCATCAACACATCCAGGAAGGCGTGCAGGAAGTCAGATTAGGAAAAAGGTTAAATTTGTTTTACTTCGTTTTAATTAGTGACCAGTTTGTAAAAATTTGAAAATCAATAAAAAAGATTTGGCAAAAAAAGGGAAGTTTGCAGAGATGGTTCTGTGTAGCAATGCCACTTAAGTTTGTAGATAATGACCTCTTAATACTTATTTTTTACTGTGTAATATTTGGTTTTATTACAAGTTGAGCATTTTTACCCTGAAACACTTAACACTGTTCAATAGGAAAATGGCTCATCAAATTTCCAATCCAATCCAAAGCTCCCCACCCATTTGACAGTCAGGGATCACTTGCAAGCCTCCCCGATTCTGAACTGTCAAATGCTTCATGCAGCCTGGAAAATCCTGCTTAGCCATGGTTGCTAGGGCTGATGGGACTTGCATTTCACAAGCATCTGGAGGGTCAAAGGTTAAGTAATAATTTAGTGCCATTAATATCAAAAATATAAAATCCAGCTCAGAGATCTGTCTAGGAAAATACTGCATTTATAACTAAAGTTTCCACTTAGCTGAACTCATTGGTTTAATAATTAAGTGCACAATCTTACCCTAGATTTGCTGGGATGACCAAGTTAAGACATTCCCAGCTCTAGCTCAGCAGGGTCACCTTTTCACATGTCAGTTTATTTCTTTATTTGGAGTATTCCCTAACATAGCCCAGTTTCTTTCTTTGCAGCAGAATATATTGGATCGCAACAAAATTCAGTTACTCTGCAGGTTCTGCCATTACCAGTTCTTTGAGGCCTAGTCAAGTCAAGAGGACAGAAATAGATTTGCTAACCATGACAAGGAGAAGCCCATAACCAAAGAAGACACAGAATCCTTCTTCATTCTCTTGTGACAAAGGCAGTGCCCCCTAGAGGCAGAAATGTATCTTGCTCTTGTGTTAGAGAGGCAATTTTTTGATATCCTTTGGCGGGGAGTGAATACAGTGTCTTCAACATTTTATTCATATTCTGAAAACAAAACAAACAAAACAAAACAAGTCTTTGGGAAAAAAGCACATGTACAGTATTTTTCTGTTGTTGTTTTTTCTGGGCCTTTACATCTCTAGTTGAACGGAGGAAGGTGAAATATGTTTGGCTTGTTTTTTCTCCCTCTTCACATCCCCCCTGTTGCTCATCAATGGGCACAGCTGTCACTTGTGGCAAGGAAGAGTATGAAGTGAGGAGGATGAAAGAGAAAGAAAACCAGCCCAGTATATTCTATCCTCCCTCTTTGCTCATGTGGAAGACCAATTCCACAAGAACGGAATTTCCCACTTTGTATTTTGAAATTATTTTCACAAAGATGGTTTTAGACATATGATCACCTTATTGGACAAAAGCTGGACAAAGATGGGGAAGAAAAGAAATAAATAAAACAAATTTAACTATGATAAAGATACTTAAGATACCAGAGTAAGTCATGGCATATATCTCCATGTATACTATACAGCCTCTTAAGATTCATGACTTTCCCAATCAGCTAAGTATGTTCTATTTATTATTGTTATGACCTTGGAGAAATTTGATGATGGTTGGCGGCTGACAAGTAGCCGGTGGGGGAAGTAAGACTTGGAATTTCCCACACAAAATAAATGGTGGAAAATATTCTTGCCAGGGTTTGATTTTTCTTTTCAAGTTGATGGCATTGTAGGGTGAATTATTTGATATTTTTTCTGATTACTGGATTGGTTTCTCATGTTTTTATTAGCATTTCAAGGGCTTACTGTGATGTTGCATCCTGGCATCCACATATAATTAAGGGTCTATTAGTGTAATAACATAATTAAAGACTTTCTGGTTGGATGGTTCTACAAGAGCCCCTGTCTCCAACAAAGCTATACAGAGCAAACCCACAAATGATTAAACCATCACTAGAATGGGGCGAAGGGAGAGTAGTACCCATTTAGATGTAAAATCTGAACACCAGCCTGCTATGAAATACATACTACATAATTGGGAATTGTTGCTGACTTCACTAATCACTCAGTCTGCACATTATGAATGCCAGGGATGCACAAAACCTCCCCAGATATTTTTGCCTCTCATCATGTGTTTGAAACTTTATTTCACAAAGGCAAAAGTGTCATTTTCCCGAAGGTAGGATTTTAAAAATGGTTTTCTGAAGAAAATCAAGGCTGTTCATATAGACCAGTGGTTCTCAAACTTCTTTCTCTGGGCCACACTTTCAGAATAAAATTTTTCTCATGCCATACAATTTTAAAAAAATTAAGAAACACATTGGAAAACAAAAAGAAACAACTATTAGCAGTGCTTGGTTTATAACATAGAACACAACTACATCATATGATCATGGGACATCCAGAAAGTATAAAACAGTGTAGCTACATAGGAACATGAGTCATTCCAAAAATATAATTATAAACAAGCCTCTTATACATGTACCTTAAGTATGTATTCAAACTCAATGAGAAATGTGAGGTTTCTTTTGCTGAATCTCATTTATATTACGTCTAATTTGAGACAAACTCTCATCTGACAAAGAAACCTTTGTCTTTTCTGATCTTTCATATTTGTCAGAGTTGAAAATCCCTGTTCATAACAATATGTCATGGAGAACTGTAGAAGAATAACCAGTGCTCTTGAAGAGAGGTGTAGATACTGTTTCTGGTTATATATTTTAAAAAAAATAAAAATTGATTATAGTATAGTATAGTATGCTGCACTATATTACACTATACTGAAATCTTGCAATATTTCTTTGATTGTCCTTGAATCATCCTGCCACATTCGCTATCCTCTCCTATTACACCAGTGTGGCGTGCCACACCCTTTGAGAACCGCTGATGTAGACAATAAATGTATGGCATGAATAACCTGGTACTGGAAAGAATATTGGTTCTCTTTCTATTAAATAGATATTGGTGGAAGCTGGGTAACTCATTTAATAATAAAAACCATAATTCATTGTGAAATTTGGGAAAGTTGCTGAAACTCAACTTTCGACTTGGAAGGCGCACTTCTTCACTCACAATGGGTTGAGTGAATGGGGTGCTGGCTGTGGTTAGGCTGTGGTAAGAAATCTCTTTCCTTTCCTTAAATAACGGAAATTCCCTTACGTAGAACGAAAAGTTTCAGCTGATATGTTGGAATCTGGATTGGTTCTTACATGAAGGCAGGTCTGCTGCTGGTCAGTGCCTGGATGTGTGATTGCCTGGGTACCACATGCATGCATTTCCCCTTAGGTTCCCTGATGGAAGAAATACAAGATAAAATCAAGGGAATAAATAAATGCTTATCAATTGATTGCTGCAGCAGTTTTCCAGAGAGGCTTTTTGGAGAATGCGAGTGGCTACAGGGAAGAGATGGGAAAATTTCCTTCCATGAATTTCCTTATGTTATCTTAGGATCCAGACCATAGTCAGATTCCAACCAGGCCCATAGATTTGGAATTGCATATGGAATAAAGGGTCATTTACTATGTTGAGCTTGGCAGTTTGATATATGCAAATTTTAAAATATAGCTGTAAAAGGAGCAGTAATGTAGCATGGAAAAGCTTTAGCCAGCTGGAAATGGGTGGTATTTCTTCTTTAGCTGTAGAAACCAATGCTAATTCTGGGTCTTACTAAATGAAAATACATGCCAAGACACAGGTTACCCAGGCACATTACCTTCTAACTTATCTCACACACCTTCTGTCTTCTGTAATAGTATTAAGCATGGGTGTAGCCAGGATTTTTCTTAGGAAAGGGCAAGCCTTTTGTTAGGAGGGGCAGAACCTCAGTTTGCTATGTATTTTTATTGATTTTTTTATTTGGGGGCATCTTCCCCCCTGGCTACACCCATGGTATTAAGATTGTTTGAAAATGAAGCCTCCCAAGGGTTTTTTGGTGGAGCAGTAGTTAGGTGGCTGTCGTAAACACACTTATCAGGCAGCATATCTCACTGAGTTTTACTTCTAAATAAACATGCATAGGAGCATATTGTTCAAACATAAATACTTAACATCAGGATGTCTAGAACCTCAACGCTGTGTAGAAAGAAATTGCAATTGATATGTATGAGGTGTTACAGAATTTCATCCCACCAATGCAAATGGTGACATCTCTTTCTTTTTAGTAACAGTCACTTAGAATTATCCATAATTTTCATTAATTCATAAATCATTTGGGGGAAAACAAAACCTTTCCCCACTACTGTTGTTGTTGTTTAAACAAAAGGTTCCTGTAGGTTAAATATATAAGTCACTGATGACACCAAGGGGTTAAACTTCCTTTTAGAAATTATGCTCTTGCCTAACAAATTTTCATGACCTAGCCATTTTTTTTCCAATTGATTACACTTTGCTACATTATAATGGAGCCTACGCATTTGTGTCTCGGGACCATACGCTACTATATCCTGACATGTTAAACATCTCCTGTGGCTCACCATACGCATCAGGGATGAGGACCTCCCTCTGTTTTCTCATTATGCCAAACAGTGAAATGTGGAAATAATTCTAATCCTTTCTTCTGCTTCTGTGGTACTCTGAAAAATGTGATAAACTGAATCCAATTAAAAGTCGTTACCGCCACAATGCTCAGTTTCTGTCTCTAACCTTTGTTTTATAATTCATTCTGTTATCTATCTTTATTGTAATTTGGAGGAATAGTCATCCGTGATTACAGCTTTCTTTTAAACAGGAAAAAGTGTAATTCCCAGCGTTAATTTGTGACATCCCAATTTAAAAAGATGAAGGTCTACTAATGACTTTATGTTTTCAAGTAGGCTAGGCTGTTTTAAAAATATATATATTGTGAGATAAAGTTTAATTCACTTATAGACTGTTCTACAATTGCGCTAAGTCAAAATATTAGGAATTAAGCTGATTTTATCCTGATAACTTCAATGCAGCTGCATTTTGTTTCAAGTGAGAATGCTTGGTTTTTAAGGGGCTTGTGGATTGGGCTGTCAGTTCTAAAGATTGTCTGGGTTTACTGTACATCATTGGGGGCAGCGGTGGTTGAAATCTGAGGCCTGTCTATACAGAAGCGGAAGAGCTTGTGAGCTCACCTGTGACATAGACCTGAGCTTTTGTCTGCTGACAAGCCCAGAGGCAAAACCTGGAGGCTGCATATGTACTGGTAACTACAGTATGCACAATCACAATCATACTAGTAATATCTGTAGTTGATGCTTTATATTAATGCTTAAGAAAATAAAAGATGCAGTGGACATCTCAGTTTGCTTTATTGGTGGGAGTAAAACACACATAATTGCCACACACATTGAAGTGCATGGCTAAGTGTACTAATGTAGGACTCAGTACATATACATTTCTAGAATGTGGAATAGAAAGTTCTGTTTTTCAGTGTGCGATTCATCAGGCCCAGGATATGACTGTTCAGTTCAATATACTATTTATTTAATCAACATTTTACATTACATTGTTCTTACATTCCAATTAAGGGAGCAAGTATGGGAAGCCAGCGTAATTTATGCTGGCTTTAATTAAGCCAGCCTAAAGTACACCAGATCCAAAGTGCATCCAGGAGTGGAACTACTGCTGACTGAGCCAGTTTAAGCCTGGCAGAGGGGAAACAAGCATTTAGAGTTTGACTTACACCATCCTTGTTGTTGTTGTAAGCTCTTCCGTGTTCCCAGGTCACTTAACCAAGCTGAACTGAGTTAGGATCCAGTGTATGTCCCCACACCACCTCAGCCGTTCCCCCATCACTCCCATAGAATGCCTGCTTTTTAGAACTTATGTTGGTTTAAATGCTGCCAGTCCAGGCTGAGCCTGGATGTTAAACCAGTTTATGTCCAGCTGAGCTAGGGTTGAGGACTTACACTGGCTGGTAATGTCATAACTTGCTGATCTCAGCAAATCTAGGGTGCCCTTAATTTTTAAACCACTGAGTTCAGATAAGTGGAAACTTTATAAATGCATCATTTTCCTAGACACATACCTGAGCTGAATCTTAGAATTTTGATAACTTTCCCATGACACTATATTAATATGTTAATGACACTAAATTATTACGTGAAGGTTTAAATACAGTGTTACTTTGGAATATGCCCTAAGGCCATTATCTTCCATCTTTTCCCTCTTGGGACTAACATGGGATCAACTTTTCATTTTTTTAAACATCTCTCTCTCTCTCTCTCTCTCTCTCTCTCTCTCTCTCTCTCCCCCCTCTGTGTTTCTCCTTGGCTTTCCTTCCTTCCTTCCTTCCTTCCTTCCTTCCTTTTTCTCTTTAAAAGAATAGTAATTACCCATCCAGCCAATATAGTTGATATGTTATGAGTCATAACCAAGCAGATGATAATGCCCTAGAGGTTATTATTTTTAATATCACCAGTATTAGTGGACCAGATACTTACTACTGCAGCCTATTTCATCTGTGTAGGACCATTGATTTTCTTACAGTGTTGACTCTGTAGTATATATAGTATATTCTATTCTATATATACTATATGCTATACTAAATATAGGAAGTTTTTCATCTTCCGTTTGTTCCACTTTGTACGTTACCCAGAGAGGATTCTGAAAGTCAAAATAGAACATATTCTGCTGAGCAGACTTTATCAACCAGTGCAAAACTTTAATGGCACTCCCAGGTTGATATAATGCTGTAGTTCAAACCCTGTTAACTGCAAATAATTTTTCATGCTTATGATTGCAGTTGAGTTCTAGTAGAGGAGAAGTATAGATAGTATAAATGCCTTGACCAAAGTTGGTTGGACTAGAGCTATATATAAAATGAGATTTTAAAACTGCAAATAAATTCAGTTTTGTGTTGCTGCAATAATTACCATAGTTTATATATAGAATGCAGCATACTTAATCCCAAACAGGGGTATGCAGGTGCAGCTCCTGCTGACATCAAGGAGAACAGCACCCATGTAATTGAAAAGCAGAATTTGACCCGGAGTCTTTCAATATTGGCCCCTAATTAAGAGACGGTGTCTGGTGCACGTCAAATGCCTTAGACAGTGTTACTCAATTAGACACAGCCGACACTATCCAGAGTCCCAAATGCTGCTAGTTATTGTGCAAGCTGATATTGACATGTTCCAGAAACAATGTGGAGTTCTCATGCAGTTAGCGTATTATTACATGGTATTAACTGCTAGCCGAGAATGACCACTTACTCATATAGAAATGATCTTTCTTAAGCTGCAGCTGCACCCAGCTATGCATCAGGGTTTATATTCCATTCTCCAAAGTGTTCAGTTTTATCAGTGTTTTACTTTTCCTACAGTTCATTATGCCTCTTCAGTAGCTCAGCGCATTTTGGGCAGGCAGGGAGGTGATTCTTTGTCAACACTCTTTCTATATATTGGTAGCATATAGAACTAAATCACATCTGATTTAGTGACTATAATAATAATAATAATAATAATAATAATAAAGTGTAGCATTTATATAGTGTTTTTTTCCTAATGCTTCTTAACGTTTTTAATGCTTATGTGAGCAGTCCAGTTCAAGAAACAGATTGGCAAGTGTTATTCATTAATTCTACACAAGAGAGGGTTGTGAATATCGGAATTCAGAATTAGAATTTTTATATCGGAATTCAGATTAGAATTTTTAGCTAATTTATCTGGTGGGTGCAGGGGAAGAAGTATATTTCTGGCTCATGCAGTGTGTGCACATATATGCGAGTTAACTGATGCTCTGTGTTTACTAATTAATTAACTTTTAACTCACTCATCTTCCAAGGACTCAAAGTGGCAGACATGACCCCTCCCCCTTGCCCCAATTTATCTTCACGATAACCCAGTTCCACGTCACTCACTGAGTTGGCTGAACTCGAATTTGAATGCAGCTCTCCACTATTCCAGCAGCCTATTCAATACCGCATTGACATTCCTGTAGCCAGGATGTAGGGCAAGCCTTCATAATTGGTGACATGGCAAGGCAGTCCACTACAGACTTCTAAAACTTCCTGTTTTAGCAGTATGCTTGGCATTGCCAGGCCAAGTTCAAGGTGTTACTGTTGGTATATAAAGCCCTTAACAGCTTATAGCCAGTTTACCTGCAGGATCACCTTACTCCATGTAAAAGGTAAATAAGCAAAGGACCCCTGGACAGTTAAGCTCAGCCAAAGGCGGCTATGGGGAGTGGTGCTCGTCTTGCTTCAGGCCAAGGGAGCTGGTGTTTGTCCACAGACAGCTTTCAGGGTCATGTGGCCAGCATGACTAAACAGCTTCTGGCGCAATGGAACACTGTGACGGTTCCAGAGAGCACGGAAATGCCGTTTAACTTACTGCTGCATCAGTACCGATTTATCTACTGTACTTGCACTGGCGTGCTTCCAAACTGCTAGCTCACCCAGTTGCTTGGACTTGAACTGCCGACCTTTCAATTGGTAGGCCCAAGAGGCTTGTTAGTTTAGACCACAGTGCCACCCGCGTCCCTTCATATATGCCCACTCGACCACTTCAATCTGAACTGTTACAGGTGCCACATAATTCTTGTTCCACACTTCTAAGAAACAAACTTTTAGTGTGGCAGCACCTACACTTTTGAATTCCCTGCCTATTGAGATTGGGCAGATGCTCTCACTCCATTCTTTTCGGCGCCTGCTTAAAACATTTTTGTAACACCGCCTTGTTATATTTATTTAGTTCATGGGCAGGATCATATGGGAGTAGATGGTCCTTATAAGTAGTACCCTAATTTAAGACTTGAACAACCACTTAGAAGCAAAAAAAGAAAGGACCAGTAGCCAAGGGAATTCACATGCTAACTCCTCAATCTGTCTTTCATATTCAGTTTTGAATTTGCATAACGAAGCAAGCAAGAGGATAACATCTGCACTTTTGATAGCAACTTCTGATTATCTCAGACTCCACAGTTGCTTTGATTTTTCAGACTATGAAATATTCTACCTAAAATTTAAATATGTTGGAATGTGAATGCATATCATATTTCACTAATGCTCAAGTGCTGACATCTACCTTATGGTAGAATCATGAAACAAAATGCTGCAATACTGTGTATCACTCTGGAATGACTCTATCCAGATACTACATTACAGTTTGTTCTCTATTTCTTTGTCACGTTCTTTCAAGTGCAAGATTCTGTCCCACTGTAGTATCCCATCAAGAAGCAGAATATAGGGCAGGATATGGAAATAAAAAAATGGGGATTTGCATATGTGATCTGGCTTTTGTTGAATTCTATAGGATAAAGCGAATGAGCTAAACTCGGACACAGTTGAGAGTGGACAGAAGATGCTCCACTTCTAAGACAGTAGGATCCATGTTGGGACATGGCATATAATTCAGCAATCTTGCTGAACTAATCTGGTAATGGTTAGTACCTAGATGGGAGACTGCCTGTGGACCTTCCTTGAGGTTCTCAGAATAAAGGCAGGATAGACATGAAATTAATAGTACCCCCCCACTGCCCCAAGGTCTCTGCATTATCACATTATCCTCTGCACAAACATAGTGCTCAACCCAATGATGGGCATTTTACTCATAAAATGAAACAGGCCAGCATTATTATTTAAACATTGTTAAGGTGTGCCTTCTTTTTCTTTGAGTAAGCAGGAACAGGGGACCTCTTATTTGTCAAGTGTCATTGTTGCGCAAGTCCTACTTGTTTATTAACACCCCCCCCCCATTTCTTTTCTGAAGTGAAATAAATCCAGAAGTAGTTTTGTATTGCCTTTCTAACATTTTATGGGATTGGCACTTACCAGAACTCCCACTTCTGCTGGATATGCACAGTATTTTCCTTGTGCATATTTTTTTCCTGCAATAATGGGTTAGCAGCAAGAAAGAAAACAGAATAGTGTTGCAAAATATCCATGCTGCAAGCAAGCTTTTTGTAAAAGCTGAAGCTGCTATCAAGATAGACAGATAAAAGAAATGCTAAACATTCTGTGGCCTATATTCCTCTCTGTTACAGGCAAGAGAAACACTATAGATTTCAACTAATGACAAAAATCTGATTGTAATCTTACTTACATATATATGTCAACCTTAAAGTAACTCCATTGACATTTTCAACTTGCACACCAGAGTGAGTATTATCAGAATTTGGATTGGTATAGCTCAATAAAATCAAACACTGTCTAGAAAGAGGTAATAACTCACACTGAATAATATTAATGAGGTGAGTAGTTTTCTACAATTCCATAGGGCTTCTGGAATGTCTAACCAACTATTCAGCACAAGTAGCAGAAGTATAATCAAGCTCTTGATTCATTCACACCTACATTAGGTTCAGTTGACATGAACATATAATAATGTGAAACTCATCAGAATATGGGGGATCTTGTTTGTTGCACAGATTCCTTAGGAATACAGTTCATCTATCCCTTAATCATATTTGAAATTTCATTTCAAAAATATAACCTTTTGGTGAAAAAGCTTAGAATTTGCAATTGATATGTGAGTTCAGTCAGGCATCAAAGACTGCAATCCTATATACACTTAGCTGAGAGTAAGGCCCATTGGGCTCAGCTAGACTTACATCTCAGTAGATATACATAGGATTGTGCTATAAAAGTAAATTTGTTTAATGGTTTCTGATCAAAATGAAAAAAACAAACCATGATTCAACCCAAATGGCCCAGTAAAGAAATATCTCAGGGACTGCCTCTCCCCATATGAACTGACCCGTGCCCTGTGATCATCATGTGAGGCACTTCTTTGTGTGCCTCTTCCATGAGAGGTCTGGAGGGGGGCAAAATGAGAATGGGCCTTTTCTGCAGTGGCTCCCTGTTTGTGGAATGCTTTCCCCAGGAGGCTTGCCTGGTGCCTTCATTACAAATCTTTAGAAGCCAGGCGAAGATGTTGTTCAACATTCTATTTAAATGTGTTTTGGGGGGGTGTTATTGGATTGTTTTCATTTTTGTTCTTGTTTTTTATTATGTATTTTGTGCTCTCATTTTGTATTTTTATGTCGTGAATGACTCTTTGATCTTCAGTTGGAGGGTGGTATACAAAATATTTATTATTATTATTATTATTATTATTATTATTATTATTATGTGCCATAGCTGTAAAAAAAAAGGCGGATTCCATGCTAGGGATGATTAGGAAACAAACTGAAAATAAAACTGCCAAGAGCATAATATTGCTGCACAAATCTATGGTGTGACCACACTACGTATACTGTATACAGTTCTGGTTAATATAGTGGTGGACCCTGGGGTCTCAAATGTCAGTGGCGCCCTGTGTGACACCCAAATTTGGTACTCCCACCTCTCTTGATGTATTCTAAACAATAGTTGTGGGTTCCCTGTAGCTCCCCAAGGCTCTGTACCTAGTATGAACCAGACACACTCCCTTAAATCCACCTCTGGGTTACTTCACCTCAAAAAGGATATTGTGGAATTGGAAAAGCTTCTGAAAAGGGCAACCATATTGATCAAAGGGCTGCAGAAACCCCAGTGAGGGCCTTTTTAGTTTACAGAAAAGGAGAGCAAGAGGTGGCATGATAGAACATTATGCATGGTGTGGAGGAAGTGGACAGAGAAAGGTTTTGCAACACTAGCGCTTGGGGACATCAAATGAAGCTGAATGTTGGAACATTCAGGACAGACAAAAGAGAGCACTTCTTATAGTGTATAGTTAAACTCTGGAATTTGCCCCCGCAAGAGGTAGCGAAGGCCACTGACTTGGTGGGCTTTAAAAGAGGATTGGACAAATTCATGGAGGAGAGGTAATCAGCAGCTACTAACCCTGATGGCTATGTTCTACCTTCACCATTGGAGGCAGTATGCCTCTAAATAAAGGTGCTGGGGTCTGCAGGAGGGGGCAATATTGTCATGCTTAGACCTTGCTTGTGTGCGTCCCAGAGGCATCTGGTTGGCCACTGTGAGAAGAGGATGCTGGACTAGATGGGCTACTGGCCTGATCCAGCCGGGTTCTTCTTAGGTAGTTATGCTCTTATTCTAATAGTCATACTTTTAATTAACGCTGGTGGAGGACAGCTGAAATTAAAACAATACTGCTATGCTTTTGTTAAAAAAATAATAATCCATGATCTAATGAAACTTAAGAAATTTTGAGACCTTTTGATTTCAAGCATGCACTTTCAACCAATGAAATAATTGCTACTTAAAATTGCTTAGCTTTGGCTGAATTCTAAAGAACTGAGAGAAAAATGGAAACATGCCTCCTGCAAGGCCAGAAATGGAAAAACTGGAAATTTACAGATCAGTTATATATATGATTTTTTTCTCCCTTTCATGATCATGAATAAAATGCTTTTAAAAACAAGGTTTGGGAATAATACTATTCAAGCCATTTATGCTGTTTCAAGACCCAAGGTTCAAAGGTAGTAATGTTTGTGATGGTAACATTGCTGCTCCATATGATGGGATTACAGTGGTGCCTCGCAAGACGAAAATAATTCGTTCCGCGAGTCTTTTTGTCTTGCGATGTTTTTCGTCCCGCGAAGCACGGTCCATCACAACTGCGCCTCTTCAAGCGGCTTTAAGAAAAAAGCGCAAGACGTTTTCGTCTTGCGAAGCAAGTCCATAGGGAAATTCGTCTAGCGAAGCAACGCAAAACCGAAAAACCCTTTCGTCTAGCGAGTTTTTCGTCTTGCGAGGCATTCGTCTTGCGGGGCACCACTGTACTTAAAAAAAAGTAATGCTCTTACTTATGTAGGAAAAGCACTTTAAATAATGTAGAATATGGGACATTTTCAGGCATTCAGACTTGTCCATGCAGTCTTAATAGCTTGGAACTTGCCTAAAAGAGAGGGGATTCTCAAAATGCTGAATTTTGCACTTCATCGCAAAAAAAATTATTAACTGAGTACATTTGTGGAATTACTAAATACACACACCTCTGGACTTCTGTTGCACTGTATTTAGCTACTAACTTCAAGCCTATCTCTGTATTTGGATTATTAGCTACTTTTGCTGAAGGTTAAGGAGCCCTGACTGCTTTAAAATTCCCTAACTCTCTCTCACACACATTCTATTGCAATCTTGTTTTGCCTTTGGAATGGAAAAGGATACTAAAGCAGCTAAATGGTTAAGCATTTGTCCAAGTGGAAGGAAGTCAACCCCCCTGCTCATATTCCACACAGAAGCCTAGGTTACTGTTTAAACTGACCCCAGGCTCCACAGAGGTTAAAGCTCTGGCATTAGCCTTGGCACAGAGCTGCTCTATCATCTTCATCAGGAATATCCCAGCCGTAGTCATGTGCATTCTTTCCTGCCAACATAACACATTTGTGCAGAATGTGCACACACTGGTGTCTACCCTGGTCTTTTAGTAGCAATTAACCTTTCCTACAGGGTTTCCTTTGAAGCTTGCTCGTGTTTTTATTGCAAAATAGCAATGAGGATTTTGTTTAATGAAGGGAAATGTCTAAACTTCCATGTTACCTAATCTATTCTGTTCCCCAACTCAGACATTGCAATTATATTACCCAATTCCTAACAGGGACAATTTTATGATCTTAAAGAGGTCTGCCTGGAAATCAAAACTGCAACAATTGTGTTTGTGTATTTGCTTCCCAATTTTAGGTTTTCTGGGGCTTGTTTCATGTGGAGATAAATTATGTTGGCTGAGGAAATTAAGGATGCTTTCCTCCCAACATCTGTTTTCATAAAGATTGAAAGATCAAGAAGCAAAATAGTTTTAGCACCCATGAGAACTTGCCCCATTTGTGAACGTAACAGGATGGTTTCTGTGAACAAAGAAAGCCTCTCATTAACAGAAAGTGTGAAAGTACACTTTTCTCTGACCTGTGCAGCCTGGGTGATTTGGAACACGTTTAGAAATGCAGTTATAATCAAATTAAACATTATGAATTATTGGTTGAGAAACATTCTTGCAGGTATTTTGCCAAAAGTCACTAGCAACTTGACAATCGTATTGTTTTCATAAAAAAAGGTTGCGATGGTATATACGTTCAGTTTGATAAGGGAGATGCTATTTCCCCCCCTGTAAATGTGCTACTAAGGAATGTTTGGGTTTTGATGGGAGATCTTTTGATCAGTTACTGTTATGTTTACTTGTAATGTTCATATTTATGCCAGATGCAGAGAGATCCAACCAGAAAACCTCCATTAAAATAAATTGTAAGAGAGAAATGTGACATCTGATTACTAAGCCTCGTTGCTTGCCTAACTCTGGCTTCCCCCATGCCTGAAAATCAGGGGTGGCAGCCTGTAATCAAAGGGGTCAGTTTATTCTGGAGAATCTGGGCCAGGGACCAGGAATGATTAACTTCGTAATATGTTGGCACCATGGTATTGCATTAATAAAGCGGAGAAAGTTGCTTTTTACTAGATACAGTGGTACCTTGGGTTACAGATGCTTCAGGTTATAGACTGCGCTAACCCAGAAATAGTACCTCGGGTTAAAAACTTTGCTTCAGGATGAGAACAGAAATCGTGCGGTGGCGGCGCAGCAGCAGTGGGAGGCCCCATTAGCTAAAGTGGTGCTTCAGGTTAAGAACAGTTTCAGGTTAAGAGCGGACCTCCAGAACGAATTAAGTTCTTAACCTGAGGTACCACTGTACTACTCTTTGTCCATTTAGCCCTGTATTGTCTACTCTGGCTGGTAATAGCTTTCTCAAGCAGAGTATTTTCCATTAGTTACCACCTGATCCTACCACCTGAATAAGCCAGAGTTTATGAACAAGACCCCTGCTGGATCAGGCAAAAGACTCATCTAGTCCAGCATCCTGTTCTCAGAGTGGCTTCCCATGGGAAGCCTGCAGGCAGGACCTAAAGGTTCCCCTCTCTTTTAAAATCATTAAAACAAATGACTCCCTGCAAATAGGAAATCAGCAACACCTACTAAAGTCTCTTGTCTGAGCATTTCTCCCTGGTGTGCAAGTTTTCTGTTTGCAAGGCATGGGGTATTTTTTTGGGGGGGGGAGGAAGTATTTTGGTTGTGGTGGTTTCAGCCTATGGGAATATGTATATATATAGTGCACCCTGCACCCTTCTGAAGTGGTGTAGCTCATTCTGCCACTTTAGATGCATCTCATTGTGCTATATGTGTACAGCAGACCTAACTCTGAACTTTAAAAAAACTGAATATGCCATAGCTACGAAAAAGTGGGCAAATCACCATCTCTCAGACATGCAATGAGAAAATAAACTATTGTAAGCTGCCCTGATCTCTTATGGCAAGGTGAAAAATAAATATAAATAAATATCCCAATTCTGCTTCAGTGGTCACCTCTCATAATACTAGAACTCGGGGTCACCAAGTGAAATTAATTGGCAATAGGTTCAAGACAGACAAAGGGAAGCTTTATACCACACCATAACTAACATGAATTTACTGCCACAAGGTACTGTGGTGGCTGCTAGCTTATATAAGGTGTGTGTGTGTGTGTGTGTGTGTGTGTGTGTGTTTTAAGGATTTGACAAGTCCATTAAAGAGTGATCTAGCCTGCCAACCATGATAACTAAATTGAACGTCCATATTAGTCAACATAGCTCCAAATAACCATATGCCAGGGTGACTGACAGCCAAGAGTTGCTGGCAGAAAGAGAATGCTAGATGAGACAGACCTTTGCTCCGATCCAGCAGATTAGTTCTTAGAGGTGGTCATGACAGCAGTGTGGAGGCTTCCAGAAACATGGTTTATGCTACAGTTGCTCCACAGGGTGGTTGGATCTCATAGAGTGCCATATCACACATTTGTTGACGCTGCAAGTGGTGGTATGAGCACTCATCCCAGGCTTGGGTGATCCATATAGCAAGCCATAGTATATGCTATGACTGTCACATGGGGAAGCCATCACACAAAGTTTTGTTTCAGATAGCTTCCATGCTACTGACATAACATGCAGTTCAATCCTAACACAAATAGTTTATATTAAATTATTTCTAATAATTTCCATAGCTATTTTCTGCTATTAAATAATCTGAAATTAGTTTTGGGTGCTGCTAATGGTCACTTTCTATATTTCCTTTTGAAATTCCTGACAGGGCTGGAATACCCTTACGTAGTTTGCTATATATGCTCTTTTCTAGAGAAATCATATGAAGCCCTTGTCATTCATGCCTTAGTTCATTTCTAGGTTGGATACTGTAATTCCTGCTATATTGTCATCAGGGGCAGCCCAATCTAGAAACTACAGTTGGTTGAGAATACTGTAGCCAGATTTGTATCTGCTTTTGGCAGATTGGCTTCCAGTTTGGTTCAAAGGCTCAATTCCAGTTGCTGGCTTTGACCCTCAAAGGCCCAAGACTATGGTGTTTTTGGAACTATCTCCACCCATATGACCCTGCTAGACATCTGTGCTCTGTTTCTGATTTCCTCTTGTTGTCCCTTTGCCAACCAAAGTATGACTGGTAAGGAGAAGAGAAAGGGGCCTTTTCAGCTGTGATGCCTAAACTATGGAATAAGAAAGGTCTGCCTGCCCACTTCTTTGATTGATTTTAAATAGGCTCTTAAGACTGTTTAAGCACATCCACTCATCTTGCCCTTCATGTTTGGAATCCTTTTCAGATAATGAGTGTGTATATGAAAGCTTCCCTGAGATTCCTTTGGAAGAAACATCTGAAAATGATGGAGAACCAAGCACTTTGTCACTCAGTATTCATGAACAATCATCTCCAGCAACATCAAGTGAAGCCTTCACACCAAAGGAGGGATCTCCTTACAAAGCACCAATATACATTCCTGATGACATACCAATTCCATCAGAGTTTGAGCTTCGAGAATCAAATATTCCTGGAGCCGGATTAGGGATATGGGCCAAAAGGAAGATTGAAGTAGGTGAAAGATTTGGACCATATGTAGGAGAACATAGCCCAAGTCTGAAAGATCCTGGCAATGGATGGGAGGTAGGAAAATGTATATGTTATTGTGTTATATTCAGTGATAATCTGTTTCCTTTAAATAAAGGCAGAATTCCTAATGGATAAGTGCAGATATTTTTGAAATAACATTTTTGGTGTATCTAAGGATTGATAATATTGGGTCTTATAATTCTGGGTTGTTATAGAACAGAACACATTTAGGTAGAGATGAGACTGTGAATTGCTCACATTTCCTCCTACATCAATCCACCCTGGCTTTGCAATTTCAAATGCCTTCATTAAGATGAATGGTGAGAAGTAGGAAAAGGCAATCATTATCTGAACTTGCTTTGATGGTTTGTGGATTCCCCCCCCCCTTTGTTGGCTTTTGGTGATGTTTTGAATATGCCACATAATATGAAAGCATCCTTCCATTAAAATGGTGTCATTTTTTTGAAAATTACCAGAATGCAGATTTTGCTTTTTGTACTCTGAGAGCCATCTTGTAGAACTATGATGTTTGCAATGCTGTTTATAGTATATAGTATCACAGGCCATCCATTAAAATAGTACATGAGCGTGTCATCCTGGAAATTTAGGTCGTGGTAATTCTTCCTTCTCCTTCTTTCTGAGTCCTGTAGCTTGTCAAGCCCTAACAGAATGCCCTTTGGTTTCTTCTAATTCTCATAGCTTCTCATATATCATGACCACCTTGCCCTATTCCCTCCATTCCTTGTGGACCAGGTTCATTTACCAACACATTATGTCTGGCCTTAGACAACAGTGAGCCAGGCCTGCTCTCTTCCTTGCCTGACAGCATCAGGCCATTTATTATCCCCCCCCCCCATCAGAGAAATATGTGCCTCCTAGAGGATCTTGAGATAGAAAAGTCCTTTAGATTTCCACATTCAAATTTTACCACCTGTAATTGAGAGTTCCCATTGTTACTGGGGCAAGTCCAGTCAAAGATATTTAGCCACCTGAGGCAGAGCAACAAATTGCACCCTCTATGAATTAACTCAAATGCTGCCTGGTTAAGTTTAACACCTAACCTGAGACAGAAAATCTCACAAGCTCATTGACAGTAGAAATAAAGCAATAAGCAACAGTTTTCTTCCTTTGTCATTCCCACCAAAATCAGCTGCCTTAGTCAGCTGCTTCACTTAGCTGTGGGTGTGGAAGGAGCATGGTATACTGAGTGACCAGCTGACCAGGCAGCTTTACCTTGCAGTAGCTTGGCAAGTTACTCATTATGGCTTGGGAGAGGAGTATCTTTCAGCCTGATCAAGTGAGAAGAAGATGTTATCCCTACTCGAAATAAATTAAAAAATTAAAAAATTGTCCAGTAGCACCTTAGAGACCAACTAAGTTTGTTCTGGGTATAAGCTTTGTGTGCATGC